AAAGCTCACAATGAGATGGACATGCATATGAACAGTTGAGTTACTTAACAATTACACGATAAAAATATACGCATAGTGTTGGTCCATAAATGGATCCCAAAAGTTAGTATTCATTATTCTTACCGGGATCTAACATTTGTTAAACTGAATTAAAATATATTGTTGGTAACAGACGTTGGGATTCTACGTGGTTGCATCTATCGGCTTCAAAGGATGATTCGAAGCAGGTAGATTGGAACACTTACTTTCTGTTTTATTTGGATGCTCACTAAACATCCTTACTGCAAAATCGTATTTGCTATAAATACATGCGTCCAACAAAAGAACCTCATGAGTCACAAGTGGTCCTAAAATATGGAGAATAGTACTCTTTCAATGTCAAAATTCGAAAGATACAACTGGGCGGATCACAGACGAACCAGTGACGCAGAACATGCAGGCAGCTCAAACAAACAAGGGGCTAATCTAAAGAGGCTCCAAGAAAGGATAGGCCATATTATATAATTAATCTGATCAACAATTTCGTCCCAGACTCTAAAAGCATATTCCGACAGGTAGGTATTCTTCGACAAGCTAAAACCGCGGTTTCCCAGCCTTCATGTTGTAATTATCTAGCCACAGAGCTCATGGTAAAGCAATTCTCCCAAACATTTTAACTATCGCAGACAATCCGAGTCAAAGAGCCTTCCACCCGCTGCTAGACAAGAGTCTCGCAAATGAACATCATATTGGTTTTCAAAGTTGATCGGTCAAATGAAGTTTCTGGCTAACAGTCAATAACACTTCTTTCAGTAGCCTCGTAGGTTGTGGAATCTCTGATATACGACGGACTGTGTGACATCGTTTTATCTATAATTGCTTTTTGCGTGGAAGGCACGGTTTAAGGAAAGCTCTGTGTGATTAATATCACGGTTGTTATGGTGCATTTATGTTTGCCACTAAAATAATAAACCTAATACAAAATTAAAGACCTATCATAAGGTGACTACCTTATCTATCAGACCTTACATATAAGTCATATCATCGTCTGTACTGATCCGTTCCATAGTGATAACCAGATGTATCAGCTAGTGAATTCTCGTCTGTCATATGTTTGGCCACAAAGTTCGTATGGTTAAGAAGCATGGAGACTATAGGCCACTGCTGCACTGTCAGTCGCCATAAGGCGGTAGGTAAGTGGACTATCACACTCGATTGTGGGAAGAAAGAGGGTGTAATATGACCCGATTTTTCGAAAGCATTTGATGGCGTCAATTATGTGTTCCATAAACAAGCACACGTATATAAGTATCAAGTCTCACCCAATAGAATGGTTTGCGTTACATTCAAATAATCAGTCTCGTGACTAGAATTAACCCTTTGTATTTCAGGCTATAGAATAACCTGCTAAGACCCTTCCAAGTTTAAGTAACAGGGCCTCTTCTTTTTAATTTATTTAAACGTCATTCCTCAGCAAGCATCCTCTGAATTATTACTTTCCGTGAAAGATGTCAAAATTAAGAAGTTTGCAGGAAGTATGTCAAGCTATCACTTCAGGATAACTTGGCCAGACTTCAAAGGCGGTTTTATTACTACTGTCTCACCTCTGACGCTTTGAAGCGTAGATCAGTTAATCTGAGATATGTTGTAAACTGCGCATGCGACCCGTTAGACTTCACTAAAGAGGTCTCCATCTAGGAGTTTCGGCATCCCATGATCTGAAGTCCTATGTTAATTGTGGCGAAAAACGTATTCTGAGTGTAACGGCTTTTATTTTATCAAATGCCAATACTGCTTACTTCATTTGTAGAGCAGATGAATTATTCTGACCTCTCCAGTCATTTTTTATTCAAACAAGTTACTTTGCGATGTATGTACAATAGTATTTGTCTATACTCTTATTAATATTTTCACGCTCACAAAAGTAAGGTGATGTTTCGACTGAATTGGGCAGATTATTTTGTTCTCTCCTCTTATTTTCCTTGATTGTCCGTCCGAGTTTACGAATCTGTGAAGAATGTGTCGAACAAAATTTTCTTGTTTGACATGTTTATTCTGTAAACCGACAACACAAACAGTAAAAGAGTATATAAACAGTTTAAAAGGGTGTATTTTGTCGTTCAAACTGTCATTAGTTGGTATCAACCTAGCAAATTAGTGAGACTGAAATTAATGGACGACCTTTGAGCGACGCCAAAATGAACTTGAGAGTGTCTACCTATTAATAAGGACTAAACCAGGGAAGCAAAGCAGTTTGAAGAATAAAGATTATGATTCACAGCGGATGGTTAGGGTTAGGAATTCGATTTACGTTTTCTTATCACGAACTGACATTAACTAAGATGCCAAGACGCTATCTGGCCAAATGGGTGAGTGAATTTTACGCCAAAATCCAAGATTTTTAGTCTACAGTTGTAAGGATAATAGGTTGGTGAACCTTTGTTGATAATTACACATTGTCTTCCAGTGAAAGTTCAGCTTCTCTTTGAAAATATTCAGTGATGGAGCTGATATTACTTGTTTAGGTAAAGCGTTCCAGTCATTGACTACTCGATGAGAACCTTCTTGCTATGACCTCGAAGATTATTAGTGCTGGAGGGAGAAAACAGATAAGACATATTGACACCCAAATCATAATTAAAGATACGAAATGCCAGTACAAGGTCACCTCGCGTCCTACGGTACGATAAGGGGAAAATTTTAGGCGTTTTAAGGAGCATTGGCTTCCAAGACCTGACTACTCGGAAATCCTAATTCGTAAGATTCGTTTCGCCATTTAGCTTTCGTGTTCTTAATTCGGTAAAAGCATTTGTAACAGCTAAGGTTGATCGGCTAAGAGTTGACCTCAAACAACTAAGTATCTGTCAAATCAATAGAGTTCAAATATTCATTCACTTCCTAATTTTGTATATTATATTTCCTATTATCTTATATTGCATGTTGAGAAGCTTTGTTTGTCTGAACAATTAATCCCACGTTCCACTGTGACTGCGCGAAAATCTAAGTAAAGACCTATTGGCTACTAGTTTGGTTTCTTCTATCAATAGCACGAAAGTTACCTATAGACTCGAGACATTTTTCCACTTGATTCGATCCTCAAGCGGCCAATCTGGTCGGAGACGAATTTTTGAATCACGATTTTAATGTGCGTTATTCAATATTACGACACGTTTTTCTAAATTATCGAGTGACAACTTCACGATACTTATTGGTTCGGTGTCGCCTCCAACCCATATACCGAGTCGTATTATTTTCTTGATGTGTACCCCTAAGACCCCTCCAGGCAGTATATTTCTGATCACGGATTACACTAACTGTCGAACGTGTGCGTGTCTTTTAGCATGGTCTTTATCTATCGACTCATCTAGATTCCGACGTCCTTGAAGTTAGTGTTCGTGGCTTTCGACCGTGATATCAGCTCCTGCCTGTTAACTGCTGGCATCCTACCGTTAGTTCTCCCGTGTAACAGAGTTGTGGGAGTCGAGCGAATGACTCACCACAATATTTGATAAGATCTTACTTTGGGATTTCGGTGAAGTAATCTGACACGCAGAATAAGTCCACTAAGGTCTTTCGAAGTAAACGGACGTTATTTTTGGCTACCTTTCCTACTCTTCTACGTTTCCGCGTCATCTCTATCCCATCATTTGCAGCATCCACATTAGAACTACTCGGGACGGTAATAGTTTTGTCTAGATCATCAGTCGCTGCTATAGCAACTTGGTCACCAATACCTAATGGCGCATCGCTAGTTTACTGTTTCGGAATAGAAAGATCAATTGCGTGTTGCAAAATTGGGTGTCTGGCATGTGCCATGACAGCGCTTACGACACTGACGCAATCTTCGCTATCAGTGCCCATGTTACCAGAGCAACCCTTGTAAACCTTCGTATTAGCCAACATCAAGAAGCTAATTGCTTCCTGGAGGAGTGATCTTTTGTTGGAACAACAAAACATACTGAGCCAATGAGAGTTAGGCTGGGAGCACCTTTTATAGGCGGATGGCTTAAGCTGGTATACATCTTATGGAACCACTTCTTAAGCTCATCACATTGCATTCCTTCTTCCACAAGGAATAAGCAATATGGCCATCTATATTTGTGAGCAGAACCGATCATCTTAAAATCAACTAAGAATGGTAACACAAAATGTATATGTAAGAAAAATCTCAAACGTTAACTAAATAAACAAAGTCAGAGTCGACCACGTTTGCTTTGATGCAACAATACACAAAAGCAGAATGAGAATACACAATAATAATATCACATTAACTGAAATAAACTTAAAGTGTAAGCGGTGGTTTTCTTGCGTAATTCGCGATCAGAACAGTAAATTTAAATCAATGAGAAATAATACCTCTGTGCTTTTTGAGTAGCAAGCGTTGTGTTATCCTAAATCCAATTGGCTCGTCCATTAATTAAGTCTCGCCGTTTTATCGAGTCCTGGGTTATTCACTTCAGAAGGACAGAACTACTCTTTTACATGCCCAAAAGAGCTACTAAATCTTTTCTCTGACGTAAATTCAAACTTAGTGTATTACATCAGTTGTCGTTTACTCATTAGGGTATAGAGAACGGAAAAACAACATTCAAACGACCTATAACATTATTAGTATTATTAGACATCCTTTAAAATAAATAAAAAGGCACAGTCTTAACAAAAACTTCAGGAAGAATAAGTAGAATTTAGGGGCGCAACAGAGGAAACTGAAGTATAGGTACATCCACTAATCATTACGAGTTGCCAAGTCCAGGAATTTGCTGCTGGCTGGCGTGATTAAAGCGATTTTTAAGGGGCACTACAAGAGGAAACTAGATATATTCTAAGGGAATCAGGACAGTATTTTATTCTAATTTACTAATATTTCCCCTACACGATAACTTTGCTTGTCTCTCGTTATAGAACACAAGTAGTTCAATGTCAATACAGAATCGAATCAAACGAGAGAATCATTTATTCTAACTGAAAGCATTTAAAACATTTATTTTTTTCTAGCTTTTGTTTTTTCATATAAAAGATGTGCGATATGACCTTCGCTGTGTTAATACATCTTCAAAGTTTGTTTTGGCTACTAAGTTTTGGTCATGCCCGAGTATCCTCTATGTCCTTTTAGTCCATCCATCTCAGAAATACAGCAGGTGAAACGTGAAGAAATTGAACGTCGAAAAAGGTTAAGAATTCTTCAGGTAGTATTAATGTATGATAAACATAAATAAAGGTTCGAATGCAAGCCAAAAGAAATGCTACCAAAGTTAGAATGTTATACAATGCTAAGAAACAGCAGTTATCAGATGTTGTTGCAAGAGATCTTCAAGTAATCAGTTTTTTCTCATTTTTCAGATTAAGCGTGTAAGAGAGGATATGAAACTTCTAGAAGCGAAGAAGGATGAATATTGTAATGTTATGAATCAGTACGGAATTGGACATAGATCTGCGGAAAATTGGGCAAGCTCAATTTCTTAACCGTTAAATAGATTTCCTCATTAACCAATTTTTAAAGATGTGCTAGCCATATATTCTTAAACGTTTCTTAACGTACCAAGTTTTTAGTCACTGTCGTAACGACTTAATGCAATGAGGTTTTAATTCTTTCATGTAAAATAAATACAGGCAACGTCACGTGGCTGAATTATGTCATTCGTTCAACCTACTGCTATTTTAGTCTATTATTCGTCTACAGCTTTCCCCAAGTGTTTCAATAGTTCTGGACGAAAGAGAAGCTTTTGCTTGACAGGTCTCCGTACGTAGTGTCAGTGAATCACAGATATGGATAATAGATAGTCGTGCATACCGCATTATATCAGGGACTCAATGATTTTTGAGGGTACAGAGAGAAGTGCTACCGGTAGGTAGCTTGAAGGTTCGCTGCGTCGACTGGTGTGATGTGAGCCAATTTCCAATTTTCTGATAGCATGCTTCTGCTTAGCGAATGTCAGAACATCACGCCAAGCAGTGTTGTCAAGTTTGAAGCTGCTTCTATCAGTATAGCAGAATGGACCACATCCGAAAAAGGATAAGTATCGCTTTCTTAGGTGCTGCGTTTTCTGTTACACCAATTCGGCGCACGGATTCACTTCTAAAAGTCCTATGCAGATACAAATTAGTTTTTCATCAATATAGCTTGTGTGGGTCGATTGGAATGTCACAGAGTACTGTTCTGCCAGAAGGTCAGCCTTGTCACTTCCATACCACATTTTAATTGCTGGTGTGCATCTATATGTATAGATAAACTGATATTGACTCCTTGAAATGTTTGTTAGTGAGAATAGTTTCATTAGATAATCCAGTTGCTCATTCGATTCGACTAAGTAAATGGAGTAGATTACGTAGTCGAACTGCCAATATTTTCACTGCATCAGTTCTCAAGTCGTAGTCCGATAGACTTCTAGAGGTACGATAGTCAATCTTATAAATATGTGAATTTATACTTTGTAGGAAAGGCAACTATGTGCTCAGAACTGTGGTTTCCGCTTGCTTATCAGTTGAGAAATAAATGGTAAAAGATTGAAATAGTGGTTATATAATAGCAAATGGTTGTTATTTTTATTTTTGCAAGACATAACCTCGGGGTATTCTATTCGGTCTTGTGTTCTATATCCTGGTAACTATCACCGGGATAAATCTATGTAAGTGACGAACTGTGACTTGCAAAGGAATACAGGACACACATTTTGTCCTGTTTGAGACCAGTCAGTGAGATACATTGACATCTCACTGTCAATGGTCGAAGTAGGATTCGAATTAATTTCCTCCCATTTAGAGTCCTCAACTGGTCATCTACTGGGTCATTGTGTCCTGGTATGCATTAACTCGTTCAAGAGTTATGGTGTTTATATAATTATTGGTTTTGAATTACCTGTTGTTGTTATTTTTGAATGAATTTTGGTCTTTAGATGATGTGTTTGATGTTCGGAGCGAAAGTTACTGGGTCTGAGTTGTAGTGTGGACATGGGCATTGATATGGAGGTACATTTAACTGATGAGTCTGAGATAAAGCGAGAGGTTCATCCTATGTTCCACTGCTAGTGACAATTCATCTATTCTATGAAACATGTGACTTCATGACAATATCGATACAATCTGTTGAGGATACGTGTGTACTGGACAAGACTGATCAAAATCCAGTTAATAACACTAACAGCGGAAAGATTCAAATACTTACAAATGAATAATAACAAGTAAATCAGGTATCAAAACTTTGAACCATAATGTTTCCAGGCGTCGATAATCCCGTCAAGGACACAACAACAAAGAAAATATGTCCTAAAAATAATCGGATACGAGTTAAGTTGCAATGTGTACCATTTACTTTGAAGACAGCACGCGACTGTATCAAATAAGTACAAGCAATTAACGAAATGAATCGATTTCTCTCCATTCGGAATGAGCAAGTTGCTCCGAATAAGTAGTTTTTGGTGACCAAAACACAATCGAAACTAAATAATGATGAGAGGAAAGAAATCTCACTACATATAAGAAAACGTATGTCGATATCAAATGAAAATGTAGATTTATATGACTGAGAATTCGCTACAATGGGGAAAGCACACTGCACATGTTCCATAAAAATGGTCGGTATTAATGTGAACTACTGAATATTACTAAGTAGTAAAGTGTGACAAATAGAGAAGCGAGCAAGGCTTTCTACTGATTACCATAAGATATTTCCATTCAATCACATCAGATTGTTTTAATAGTTAAATATCGATCTTTATCTAATAAGATTTGGTTGTCACTGACATTTGGACCATCAGCTCAGGTTTTTTTAATATCTGGATGAATCAGTGAATCTTATCTTTTTTGGTGTTTTTACATTGTAAATCTAATTGGCTGACTTATTTCCGATCTTTAATTATTTAAATGTCTTTAGACTGAATGAAATTTTCGAACCTATGAAATTCATCGCACAAATTTTCGGGAATCAAATATTTTCAGAAAGCGGGATTTGTGGAGATTGTAGTAATTTAGTATTTCGTCACTACGATTTCACTCATATTTTCGCACTGATCATTTTTGTTCTGAAAGTAATTTATGTTATATCTTGCAATTATAAAATATTCTATTCCGTTTGTGAGTCAAATAATCATAAAAGGTGTGTCAACCTTATAAGCTTATTTTATTTATCAAGCTACTACGTATCCGTTTTTGGTTATTTTAGAATGATCCTACCTTAGAAACCTATTGGAATCTGTCTGTAGCCCAGAGACGAGCTAAAGATCGATTTCATATAGCTGTGGACAAATTGCATAAAGAAAAGCTAACTCAAGACCTTGCACAACATGAAACGCAGGAAAGGATTAAAGAAGTTAGAAATACTGAGAAAAAACGAGCTGCTTTAATTGCTTCTCTACCACCACCTAAGGGTATTCTATCTGAAGAAATTCTAAAACCTTCCTTCGGTATGATAGTCCTTGTTAATTAGTTTTATTAGTTCACGAAATTGCTGGTTATTTTCCGTGAAATTATTGGTAATATTTTAGTTTCGACTTTTGATGTAAAAAATCAGTTGTAGTTGACTTGCAATACTGATATTTATATATTCGAAAAATACTTCTAATTCTCTACATATTCTGCAAATTCATTGGCTATATTAATAACATTTAGTACTCGTAAAAGAACGGCGTTAGGTGCTCTCAGAAACTGTGAAAAGTTAATTAGTATCACTATTCATAAATTTATTCCGAATATACAAACTGGTTTCATTTTTAGTGACAACTTACCAACATTTATATCTATGACCCGTTTTATATTACTGTTGGTATGTCTTGGCGTTATACTAAATGGTTTGGAATTAATTTCTTGTGTCTTGTGTTCATACATATGACGAATGACAAACCAAAGGTCTGTATAAGGTCTTTCAAGACCAGTTGATGCGTAACATAATACATACTGTGACATAACAGGAGAAATTAGATTCGCATTTGTGACTCTACACAGCTGATACTAGATACTGATCTGCGATATTAGACAGCAGTACTTGACCAACAGACAATAGGTTTAGTACGCTAAATTCTAAACCGGGCACTAGAATGATATATCAGAGTGCGTAACATTTACGACTCAATAGCCAAACTAATAATCAAAAACCAAAATTATAGACCACAACCAGATAATATCTACACAAAGTAGAAAAAAATGAACACAATGGAGTCAGTTTTACGTATAAAATTCTTTCATACGAGTTATAGCTGAATATATATCATTACTTATCAAGCAATCTATCTTAAGTTCTCGGACTTGAATAATCACAGTCCAATATGAATGTTCATTTCAGAAAATGTCATATTCGTTACGGTAGTCCTCTGTAGTCTATTAGGAGATATCAAACTACAGGATTTGTGACTTCTTAAATATGACAACTCACTCATGTTATCCTTTAAATTGGGTCTACTTGACAATGTGGAATGAATAATTTAAATACCAGCGTCATTGCGGTTGAGTTTAAGGTTTTAATCGAGGAGCTTGAAAAAGCTAGGGATATTTGGGAAATGTGATGTGTCCACACCTACTATTCTACCTTGATCTACACTTTACTGTGATTATGAATAGGGCTTTCACAATACATCCAACTGAAACAGTAATAACTGTCTCTTACACTAATTGGTGTTGCTGAACTTCCTAAAAAGCTGCTAGTCTGAACTCTGTGATCTCTATGATCCTTCACCGAAAGCTTCATTTTATGTCAATCAGTAGGTAGCAGGAGGACAAATACGTCGTTTATCTTTCTGAGAGGTAGGTGTATATTATAATATTGGCCATATATTTTGCTTTTACGTTGATTGAATATTCTGTATATTTTTAAGTGCCTAGTCATCCGAATATCTGGGAGTTTTCACCTTTCCCAAATTAGCTTTTTTAGTTTCTCGTACAGATTAATCAAGTAGTTATTTTAATATTTAGCTAACTGATGTTTGGAAAACGTTTCGCCATTCCTAATTAGCCTTTCAATAATGTGTATTTAAATACTTATCCTTTTTTTATCTTCCTTAATAGCTTGTGAACCCTTGGTTCTTGTGTATGACATTGAAGCTAGAAACACAATACATACACAAAATGTGCAATCCAGAGTAGTTATTAAAAACAACGAAGTTGACGAAGAAAAAGATATTGGATCTCAAAGTGCTGCGATTTCAGCGTGCAAAGAAGAACAACGTATACAAGCAATTGAGCGTGAAAATGCCATTCATGCCCGTGAAGATCTTATCAAAGCTGATATGCGTGGACGTCAAGCAATGAGAAAGTAAGATGGTGTTTGTGTTGAAAAGGCTTTCAAAATTTAAATAGCTTATTTATTTACTTTAGTCAGTCAGTCAGCTACAACGTAGGACCAGGCACATATGTGCATCGGTTCAAGTTGCCATACCTAATTAGCATGACAAGATGAACACCGAATTCATAGAACTAGTTAATTCAGTGGTGATAAAAGCTGTTTGGTTCTAGTTTAAATGATCTAAATATCTTGAAATAATATTGATCACTGGTGAATGTTCGTTAAATAAACATTAACACTAAAGAACGTTAAACACTTTATATTCCCGTTAATTATTCTTATAACTAGAGACATCACTTCATCATTGCTCTGAAACCTAGCGATTCATAAGGTTTAAAAATTATTATATTTATAACTCATAAACACCATTAGTTCAACAACACACGTTAATTAAATAAACATTTAACTAAGATTATTGCTTTTTCCCGGACGTTGTGTAAAATTTGATTGTTATATAGGTTCACGTGTCAAAATCTACTATGAGTTCAAACCATGTTTAATCTACTGTATTTTGAACACGTAGGTTGTACTAGTAGAGGTCTTAGCTTTCTTGTTGTTGATACTCGGGAATTCACCCAGTCAATCTCTTACAATTTTTCACATTGACAAACTCCATTTTATTCAAATTAATCAGTCTCTGTGGGTGTATAAAAATCTTAAGCAGGCGCCTCAATTTTTATTTGAAAGCAACTCAGTAGCTTAGTACATAACTCGTTGATCTTTGAAGTGATAGGTACTGGGTTTGAGTTTCAGTGTGAATACCACCATGTAACTAATGCATCCCAAATAGGACTAAATGCTCATCCTGGATTCCTTTGTCTAGCTCCAGTTCAAATCAGTTAGTAGTTTCAATCCTAAAGGAGTGGATTTTGTTGAGTTTCTGCTGTGTGAGTTTGTACATGTTCTTCAAATTACACTTATATTACAATAACCTCAGATGTACATACATTTAAGTGTAAACGCTGCTGATGCGAATTTTGTGTAATGATTATTGCTGCAGTGTTTTTAAAACATTGATCTTTGCATGAATAAGTTTGTGAGTACGAAATAAACGATTGGCTGAAATAATAAACCAATGTATTCTTATTGTTAATCTGAATCTAAAATGTGTATTTTTGTCTTATTCGGGAAAATGCATATACCAACACCAAGGTATTTATATAGGAACGCTTACTTAAAGGTGAACCATATCCCGAGAAACGTACCCATTAGCATCAAGTCATTCCAAATAATATCCTCTGCCCATGAATTGACTCATAAATCAGCAAACTAGCAGACAATCCTCCGAAGGTTAAAGTGTTGAGTTGTGAGTTTAGGGATCAGAGGTGAAAAGATTTCTTACCGACATCTCCAACCAGCAAAAAATTTAAATGGGCTCAGTTATTTTAAAAGTCATAACGAGATTGACTTCCAGTATGAAAATTAACAATAGAATGGAGGTAAACCCCGAATGGGATGAAACACGCATTCTAGATTCCACTGCTAGCCACCATCCAACTTTATACTGAAGTGCTATCGTAGTAGTTAGGATTTTCCTTAGTTGTAACATCATTTTATTTTATCGGATTGTAATCAGCAATCATCTACCTAGCCTTGAAAACATATGTTAAATTAGTATATCGAACAATATTATCATCGGTTTCCTTGACATTTGAATTGAATCATGTTTTTTCTACAGTAAAAGTAGGGCATATATTTTCATACTTTATTTAAGCTCTTATATGAAATAACGGCTATATCACATATTTTAAAGGAATGATTCCAGCTTTTTCGGTTTATCTGGTTTAGTGTATTTACTAAATAAAACTCTTATTTGTATTAAACTTGCGTAGTTATTTTACGAGCAGTAAAATACTTTGCAATCTAAAATATGTAGCAATCGTCCTTCGTTTGTCTATGGAAATTTAACTGAAGTGTTGAAAAATAGTTATTTTTGTTCTGTCTGTCTGTTAACCCTGTGTTTGAGAATTTGCATCCTGTTTAGAACAGTACGCTACAGGTGGTCTGGTAGCTTTTTCAAATTTCTCTAGTTGTAACATATACAGTACTTATTAAGCCTGCATTATTTGCTCCTAATTTTAGTTAACAAACTTTCCATCTAGTTTTTTTTTGGTGGAGAGAATCAGACTTTATAATTAATTTATCAGTTTAAATGTTTGTTACACTTTGCTTACCCCATGGAAATAATTCCTCATGAGTAGATTATAAGGTAATTCGTTAAATTTTCACCACATATCCGTTAAATTATTTTAATATTGAACTGTCTCAGTGAATAGAGCATTTTGGTTTTCTTTGAGAGAGCACTTCTAGTGTAAATGGCTTCGCTATTGTGATTTCATTTCAGAGAGCGTGTCCGTCAATATTATCAAGCTTTACTAAATCGTTTGGATGAAGTCAAGCGTAATGAGGCTTCACTTCGTAGAAGTCAATTATATTCCGAAACCGTTAAAAGCTCCCATGTTCCTGGTGGTGGTCCATTTAATGATGCCGTTGTAAATCGTCGGATGGAAAAAGTCTTTGAGGTATTTATCACTTGTTATTTAAACTTAATCTTTGTGCAGATCAATAGTATAAAATCCTTTCAAAGATTCTAATACAACGACTAACTATTTTGCAAAATCTCGGAATAGAAACATGGAGTTTTCCTGAAAATTGTACTAATAAGGAAATTAACACGAGTAATAAGTATTTAAGCACAGATGAATGATGGTTAACAGTTGTAATCCAGGCCAAACTTTTTGTCCTGTTTGAGACCAGTCAGTGAGATACATTGACATCTCACTGTCAATGGTCGAAGTAGGATTCGAATTAATTTCCTCCCATTTAGAGTCCTCAACTGGTCATCTACTGGGTCATTGTGTCCTGGTATGCATTAACTCGTTCAAGAGTTATGGTGTTTATATAATTATTGGTTTTGAATTACCTGTTGTTGTTATTTTTGAATGAATTTTGGTCTTTAGATGATGTGTTTGATGTTCGGAGCGAAAGTTACTGGGTCTGAGTTGTAGTGTGGACATGGGCATTGATATGGAGGTACATTTAACTGATGAGTCTGAGATAAAGCGAGAGGTTCATCCTATGTTCCACTGCTAGTGACAATTCATCTATTCTATGAAACATGTGACTTCATGACAATATCGATACAATCTGTTGAGGATACGTGTGTACTGGACAAGACTGATCAAAATCCAGTTAATAACACTAACAGCGGAAAGATTCAAATACTTACAAATGAATAATAACAAGTAAATCAGGTATCAAAACTTTGAACCATAATGTTTCCAGGCGTCGATAATCCCGTCAAGGACACAACAACAAAGAAAATATGTCCTAAAAATAATCGGATACGAGTTAAGTTGCAATGTGTACCATTTACTTTGAAGACAGCACGCGACTGTATCAAATAAGTACAAGCAATTAACGAAATGAATCGATTTCTCTCCATTCGGAATGAGCAAGTTGCTCCGAATAAGTAGTTTTTGGTGACCAAAACACAATCGAAACTAAATAATGATGAGAGGAAAGAAATCTCACTACATATAAGAAAACGTATGTCGATATCAAATGAAAATGTAGATTTATATGACTGAGAATTCGCTACAATGGGGAAAGCACACTGCACATGTTCCATAAAAATGGTCGGTATTAATGTGAACTACTGAATATTACTAAGTAGTAAAGTGTGACAAATAGAGAAGCGAGCAAGGCTTTCTACTGATTACCATAAGATATTTCCATTCAATCACATCAGATTGTTTTAATAGTTAAATATCGATCTTTATCTAATAAGATTTGGTTGTCACTGACATTTGGACCATCAGCTTATGTGTTTCTAATATCTAGTTTATATTAGATTTTTTCCAGTTTTTCAAATGTTTTGAAGTTTTAAAACGTCACATTTCAATTAATATTAAGTGCATGAATCCTTTTCCTAAATGTGACACACGTTAAATTCTTCCTAGACTCTTTTATTTAATACTGGCTTGCCCTCTAATCTATCTGCCTTTGATTCCCACTGAGCACCGCCTCAGCAGCTTGAATTTTGAACAACTTCATCAAAATTGTAATCTCCTATTCACTTACTTCAGTTTTTGGGTAGCTGTAGTCTATCATTCACATTTAGTGATTCAAAGCCTAGTTCACAAATTTACACTTGGTAAAATAGTTTGACAGTTATTAATATACTCTCGTTCAGTCATAGATTTAATTCATCATTCATTTGCAATTTACCAGGCTGAATTACTTTATCAGTTGTCAAATTTAAATCGTGAAGAATACATCGATGTTATTGAAGAAAATACTTTGGAAAACGATAATAATAATAATAATAATAACGATATAAATGGATATAACGAAGTGTTGGATATGGAATGTAAACAAAAACGCTCATCCGTAAAGGATGTAACACTTACTAATGATAGTAATCTCGTTGAACAACCAATGTCGCTGTCAAATTATCGCGTTTTAGAATTTGGTAGGTAGCTCTTATGGAGAAATCTTTCCGAAGTGTATCTTTCGTAATTCATGTATGTCCATTTATCAGATATAATTATTCTCTCCCATTTGTCAACATATTAAATTTTTTCACGTTAGCCTATATACTGCTGTCAATAAATATGTCCTGATTATATGTAATTTGCTGATAGTTAGCAGTAGAATTGAGATGGTTTCATCTGTTTTATTTGAGTTTTTCGATAGGATATACATATATCTTTGTATGAGTAGTTTATTTATTGACATGGATAGATCATTTTGATCTGATTACTGAGACAAAGGAAAGTAGGATAATCAAATCACATTTTAAATGTGTGTTGCAAGAGTTGGGAATAGATTTCTTCCAGCTCGTTTTTTCGGATCCCCCAAATCCCCATTCATAAATATAGATAGATGTCCCTCAGCAAATCAAACCATACTTTCAACCAGTGGGGTATATCTATTTTTTCAGAAGATGTATCTAACTCATCACCAATAGCGTGTGCTTGTCAGTATACCACTTTTCTCTCGAAAAAAAATCTTCCTTTTTAGATTTAAATGCTTGGATTGAGGTGTCGGCACATCAAGAATAGAGTACAATAACACAATAGTTTATAATATCTTTCAAAATGTATTTTTAATGTATTTTGGTTGATGATTATACGGCTAATGTTAGTCTCTATCGATGTTACTTCCAAACTCAGTTGATTTGATGAAATCTTGACATGATTGTAATTGAAAGATGAATGGTGTTGTTCACAAAATGTTTTCTTAAATTACAAACAAATGGCATTTCAGGATACAAAACAATTAGCCAACTGATTTATATATATATATATATATATATATATATATTATTTAGTACTCGTTAATTAGGCCTACCTAAAACTCTCCTAGCATTGTTTGTTCAACTTTCTTACATTCACTTAACTCAATATTTTATTTCAAATATTTTCATTTTCCTCATAAAGATCAGGATATCAAAGATGTTGATGAAATTTCACATCATGATGAACATTTAAGCATGGAAGAAGAGGAACTAGTGCATGATGAAAAAAAATCTGTTAACTCGACTGATTTAGGACCTGGTGAAAGACCAATTCTACCTGATATTCGTCGTTGTCGTATTCTTTCTGAATCAATTAATCTTACAAATTCTGTTCATAATATAAACCCTAATAAGACATCTAAACTAATTCATGGAAATTCAAAAATATCTCCACAGTCTATTGCATTAAGTAAAACATCATTTGAAAATAATTCTGCTAGCGATATTTGTACAGACGACGAGAACATACAGTTACGTCAAAAATTACTAGAGTATGTTTTATTTTGTTATTATTATTATTATTATTATTATTATTATTATTATTTCACTCATCTCGATTTCCATCTTCTCCCATTTGTTGGTTATAGTTACTAGAAATACATTTTACAATTTTATGCAGTACCTAGATATAATTACTCATTAAGTTTTACGACAATAAGTGTTAAAAACCTAAGCATTTTTAGGTATTTGTTAAACGGTGTTTCCAGTTTGGAGTTAGTTTTCATCTTGGATCAGTATAAACTGGATAACTATTAGAAATAAATGCTTTGTCCTATTCTGATACCCTATTCTTCAACAGTACGCTCATCTACTATTACACAAAGGATCAAAGTCAAATCTTTCGTGTCTTCTGATAAGTCTTGCTAATTGAACGCTATTTTTGGTGCTTAAGCTCTTCTAGTAGCTTCCAAGCTACAACTACACAGCGACTTGAACACGAGAGAAAAGGCGCAAAATATGCAAGAAACACTATTCCAAAGGTTCCTATAAGTACAGAAAATATAGGGTTTTTATAGTATGTTAGATGTCCTTGGGTTTTCCAGGAAATTCTAGAATGCTACTAAACATAGTAGCAGCGTAGTAATCATCCAACCAGAAACTCAAAATATGACTTTCCAACTTCTAGATATTTTTGGAAAAACTTCTAGCGAACGCTGATTAGACAAGATGCTTCTCAGTGTTTCCAGAGCCTTTCTTGGCTTTTTCCGAGGAGTTTTCTGGATCTTCCCAACATCTTCCATTGATTGAGGTATACCTATTGAACAATTAATTTAAACTTGGATTAATTTTAATTTGGTTATTTATTCTCTGAAGAAGTGACTTACACTAAGTCACGAAACGTTAGAAAATCTAATTTTCTACTCATTGGGATATTACAAATATATTATTTTTATTTATAATTAAAGTCTAGTGACCGGTGAGACCATAATTTATGGATGACCTTCGAGCGATGCTGAAGTGACCTTGAGAATGGGCACCTACAGATTAGGACTAAATGAAGTTTATAAACCAGTTAGAATTATGGTTAGGGATTAGATTTAGAGTTTTCATTACGAACTGACATCAACTATAATGCCAAGACCCTAATTAACCAATTGGATGGATGAATTTCGCGCCAAAATTCAAGACTCATTATCTTATATCTGATTGGTTTGTCCATAAATTATAGTCTCGCCCATCTGTATATTCTAAATATGTCAATGATCACTGATTGTTACTACAAATAAGATTTCTAATTCTAATTCATGTTTAGTCACTTGTGAGAAAAATCATACTTAAATTTTCTAAAGCAAAATGAACCTGCCTATGAAGTGGTTTTATTCTTTCTATTTAATTTTGTTAATGATTTAAGATGAAATGTATGTTTAAATCAAGGAGTATTTTTCCATATTGCATAAACTTTTGTCTGCGAATTTATTCAAAATTGATTTTGATTCCGATTGATGTATATCTTTGATAAATTTATAAAAATACTATTGCCTTGGTTATTCTCATATTGTTTCACACCATCAAAACAAAAGTTATTTAGTCAAAGTTCATTATTCATTAAAGATGATGGGATCTAGATTAAGACTCATTCATTAAAACAATATAAACATTTACGTAATGTTTAGGTTCAGTTTATGGATGTCTAAATTATCTGAGATTGTTCACCTTGTTATGAAATTCATTTTCAATAAATATCCGCATACGAAGCGATGACTTAATAGTTAAAGCAGCTGGCATGCAGTCGTTAGGTCGCTCAAAAAACCCCCATTCTCCACCACCTACTGGATGGTATTACTAGGTGTCGTAAAATGTGACTGGAATCCTAGTGCACAGTTCTATATATGCTAATTAAGTTACGTTATCTACAATGAGCTTTGCGTCAAGGACATTATGCAATCAGTTTCCGGTTGTACTATATAACGTAGACCTTTATTTTTTTCTTAATAAGTTAACAATTACTTAGTGTATGTATATGTATATACCAGTTAGTTCTTTCGTAATTCTGTATTGACTTAACTACCATTTAGAGTCTGAGGGTTCACTGATATCAAAATATCGTATAATTTGTCAGTTTATTACACTGTCAATTTTTAATCTTGCCTTATGTAAAAAAATTGTGTTTAGTCTTATAGAATTGCGCATACCTATCAAGCTGTTATTAACAATAAAGTACCTAGTACACTTATGTGCACCGATCCAAGTTTCCATGCTACATGTAAACAACAAGAGGAAATAACAAGACATATGCCAGAAGAACTCAGTCAGTCAATAACAGCTTAAAACTTCGTACGTACGTACATCAGTTCGAGTTGCCACACCACCAGAAGAACTGAAAGTGTTTGTGTTATAACTGTGAAAAATACTTGCTGCGGATTAAGGGGTAGCGAATTATTGATCGGACCAAAGACGCGCAAACACGTAGAACGACCTAGGGTTCTGATTGGCCTCGCTCCCCTGTCTAGCCCAGCCAGTTAAGCCCAGAACACAAGTCACAGCGTTAGATATATGAATCATTATATTCCAAACATACTTTGTTTATATACCAGTCAAGCAGACCACAACGTACCATAAAATAGAAAATAAAATTGTACAATAATGGCCAGTAGGAAAATGACACGTTAAATAAATATTGACCAATAAGATGATACCATTTCATGTCCAAGGATAGCATTAGGCTTAACAGGATAATTTTTGGGATATTTTCCTGAATATCCCAACAGTTTGTAATGTCTATAGCAGTAAGATAAAATTAAAATTGAAAATATCGTTTGAAAGAAAGGATCTAAAAGGTATAAATTAATATGAAAACTCAAAATCTAAATACGGAATAAGCAATCAATGCGTTAGCACCAGTAAAAACCACTTCAAATCATATTACATAAGGTCTCTGACCATTGATATTGATAAATAGGTGAATTTCAATCAAGAAGCCTTTCTCTCTCCATAAGACTAAGACTGGAGCGACCTGTTAATTATTGAAGCACTGGAGTTTCAGCCAGTAAATTGAATGTTCAAATTGTGCTCCTCCACCCTAATTTAAGCAGCTAACTAGCATCACTAACCCTGATACAGTGTGTGTAGTTCAAAGCTGAGTACATAAATGTGTACTTGTTAAATGAATTTCAGTATTATGACTCAGGATAACGAGCGATAACTTCATAAAGTGAAGTCACACTTTAGTTTGTAGAGGCTACTGTATGTGAAACCTACAAACAGTATTGTATTATTTTTAAATTTTTCTATACAAAATCGTTCATACGTTTACAGTGAAGAATTGGACATGATTGATAAACGCATTAATCGACTTCGACTCAGCTCGGCTTGTGATCTTCATGAAAATCAGTCACATTCAGCTAAATTGTCAAGAAAAGATTTGAAGGAATCTACTCAAATAAATGACAATATAACTCCTAGAAATATGTATATAGTTGAAGGTTGTGTTTATGGAGATAATGGAGTTAGTGATAGAAAAGATTCTTCAAATTTGCCGATAGATTTATTGAACACAAAACCTAACACAGGTGAAACACCTTCATTATCTTTGATATCACAACCGACTACAACTGTTGCACTGGACGTAAGTACACTGATTTATCAGCTTTCCTGTTTGATATTTTTATTTATAAATTTATGCTCTGATTGCTCTGAAAAGTATGTTGTTTTACAGTATGTAGAAATGACAACTTGTTTTCACTTTCTGAAAGGTATATTGCCATGTCGTTTTGATATATCTCTTTCATTTATATGAAGATGATTATTTTTCCAGTGTGTAGTTCGCATACGTGTTTAGTTATATCATTTATGTAAACACTCATCAAAGTTTGAACGAATAGTTTGACAGAAATTGGGCGCTGAGTATATAGAAATCATTATACGTGAAATAATCTCAGTGATTAAAATTTAAAGAGCTTTAATGTCCCACCCAGGAAACTGATCTGATCTTCACGAAACCTAGGCTCAATGTGTCTTTTGGGCTCCTTTCACTAACACAACAATTTCAGTCTCCATTTCTCATCAGAGTTTACTTTGATACTTCGATGGCTTATCTGAATTTATTGTCTGAGGTGAACTTGATAAACTAGTTTTTCACCATACTATATTTTCATGAATTATTGACTTCCTTTATGTTTTATTCAGGAACGTACACAGTTATTAAACAGTAGTTATTTTTGAAAGTATTAGTTAGTTAGTTTCTTATAGGAAAATATTACAGAACTAAAAAGTAATATACTTAACTTTGTTTCAATAACTTGTATACATCTTAATTTGGCCATTTGTTCTGACTTTGTTTCATGTCGTATACATTGATAAATGCTTGCGGTGTGGAAATGGTTAAATGTAATGTATTAATTGAAAAATGAAGTAAATTTTACCAAGCTAATATCAATTACATTATATCATTTTTCATCTCTTAATTACACCTTCATTTGTATTTCAACGTTAATATGGTTTTCAGCATTTACATTAAAACTGCCGTTCATTGTCGTCAAGTCAGTAAATTTGAGGATATATTGCCATAATGTAACTGTAGTCCCAAGAAACCACTAACATTATTTAGGATTCAAATACCCAATTATTATAAGCAATAATATCAAAATCCTTTTAAAAGGATACATCTTTCACTCTATAACATCAAAACGCTTACATCATTTGATCATTTACTTAAATGCATTATCCAGGTTTCGGCAAATAACCAATTATCAGTCTTTGTAACCACCAATATAGCTGGAAACAAAAGGCTAGTGTCTTGTTGAATTTGATCAATTTAGACTGTAATTCGAAGCATTTTAATTTATTTGTTGAGGATAATATAACGTTTTAAGCAACACATAAATTATTGTTTGCCGTAAATCCCAACTTTTCCATTATATATTCTGGCCTTAAAATCACTAAAATAATTTTTTTTTGTATAAATATGCCTTGCATTCTGTTTTATATAGGTGTTTTCTTCTGAATCGACAGCAGTTGCCCAAAAGATAAGCACAAGTATGGCATCAAATAATCAAAGTAGCTATAACACGGAATCTACTGTTGTCAAATATTGTATTTCAAAGCCGATAACAGGTGTTTTGGCTGAACGTGCTCGTGATCTTATAAGGATTCAAAAAGCTAAATTGTTAAATCTTGAAAAGTACAAATCTACAGTTGAACTTTCACAATCTTCACATACATCTAACCAAAGTTCTGTTGATATGGACTCGGAGATTTTCACAAATTCTCCAGCTACAAATATGGAAATTAGTGAAAACGAAGATGTAAGTTGTTTCTCTCCAGATGATTCGAAACAGACAATGGATTATTGTTCTATCACTAAAATTGGGAAACATTCTTCTAGTTGGCGCACAAATGACGATAAACAGTCTTTCGAGGTAAATATTAACTTTCTGTACTGATAGTTATGATTGTTACTAGAATAATAAGTTTGGACCGGCTTGGTCTTCGGAAATTAAAAGAATCTCCAGACAGCAAGCTAGCTAGTTCTTAGGAAGTTGTTTATAGACATTTTCACTTCTAGGAGTATAGCTATGAAAAAAAAGACAACATCAAAATGTTTGTCTTTCATAGGGTATCATTGTAAGTTGCTGATTCAAAACTTACTACATTCTCTAAAAGGTATAACGCACTGTATATAACATGAGCGATTTTTCGAAACAAAAAATACTAAAGAAACCGTGGAAGTAGTTCAGTATATCATAAATCAGTCAAAAAGGCAAACAATTAGGAGATGGGATTATAAATGAAAAACGGATCTAACTCGTGTCTCAAATCATACATTTGGAATAGCAGCTAACAATAATTCAGGAGGCTAGTTTAAATAATTATCTCGCTTTTCAATGTGGCCAAATGCTTATACTCTTTATTGATAGCATAAACCAACCTGAGTTAGACTCTACTGAAAACCAGGATGTACTGACCAACTGTTTCGCCTTAGCTGCAGCGCACATCCACAAAACCAGGACCTTCAGTGTCTGGTGCAGATGCCTAACCTCTCAACCATTGAGCAGTTGTCTATCAGTGTATATATCTAGCCACAATGGATTCGCTGTATAACATGACCATCTTACATTGTTTTCGGTGGGTAACTGATATACACCTGGCCACCGCATTTGAACTCGTTATTTTTGTCTCAATAACTGTTACTTACTTTAAACACTGAATTCACTTTTTTTCATCGCAGTTTTCTCTACAAAAGAATGAATCGTCGATACCATCTACAGAAACGCCAGTTATTTTTAATAAGTCTATACAACCACCGAAAAGTCAACATGATGATGCATACGACAAATCACATTATAGTGAGATCGTTATTTTTGATGATGCCGCTCAAGATGTGAGCAAAACTCCAGATCATGAATCGTGCTTCGAAACTGTATCTTGTATCAAGAATTTGAATAAGAGTATGTTTATAATTCTTTTTTGAGTATATAAACATATTTTGATCGATTTTACAACGATTTGAAATAAGATCAGATTAAAACCGTTTTGATAGTTGTTATGACAGAAGTGATATTTACCAAAGTACAGTGATAATATACTTTGCATTAAAATATAACAGTTATTACTGGGATGTAATTTACAATGTAGATTGTATACTGGTTAGTATTCAGCTCTCAATTAAAAAAAGAAACGCATTGAATTATTAAATATTCTGTATTCTTGGCTATTTTTTTGTTCATTGACAATTATGTTTATAAGTAACGAAACTTTTCAAATTCATTCCGGTGAATCGAAAGAAATTATAGTGAAGATAATATCAGTATCATTGACTACGACTACTGTTTATTTAAACTTGTATAAGTTTGAATCATCCCTTTGTTGATATTCTTGACCGAATTTGATCAACCTTAGTTATCATATGAACATCTTGTGCAGATTGCCTCGATATGATCATATTTGGCACAAATTTTATAGAATAAATAAATTGTAGCTAACAATCCAGTCCGTAAAACACGTTTAGTCCTGCTTATGATCCTTTTTTCTACTTTTTTCAAGCATATTAGTTATATGTTGATGATCTTCACAACCTTTTTTCTAGTGAATTACGAATCTTACAAGCATCCACATGAACTAAACACTATTCAAATATCAAATAAAAAAAATCAAAAACTAGAGATAATGGTTCCTTTTCAATCGTCTCCCTCAGATCCACCTATTAAAATATCTTCACAGTCAACACACTTAGTGGATTTGCCGGCTATGAATAATTTTTCAACAGTTCAGTCACCATCGTCATCATTATCATCATCATCTTCATCAACATTATCACCACAATCATCAATGAATTCACCATCGTCGATTGGATCGAAACAAACCATACCACCGTTATCAAGTTCCGATAAACCGCAATCATTAGAATCATACGCTACATCAGATACTTTAAAAGCTGAATTAAAAGCATTACTAACATCGTCACTGATCAATTCAATTATTAGTCATAATTCAAGTGTAACAACTGATACGAATGATTTGAAAAAATTATTTAGTTCACAAAGTTATCTGTTGTCCTCTCTATCGGGAATTTATCGAAAGTAAGGTACAAAGTTATTTTGTAAAGTGTATTGTATAGGAACGAGATTAATAAGGGAAATTTACTTAATTTTGAGTGGATTACAAAGAGTTGCTGAAGTGTTACTATACAGATAATAAAATAGGTTAATGAATTTGAGACTTTTGTAATTATTGGCATGGTGACTGTTGACGGTAGTGATTTATGGAGTTTGTTGATTTTAATTGAGCCACACTATTAAGAATTACTGAGCTCTGGAGTGAACAGCCTATAATTGTTCTCGAAAGTGTAACCACTATTTAAAAAATTCTCGTTATAATCAATTGAGATTGTTTTAATAACATAGCAACGTACATTTTGAACATAATTAACTGGAAAAATAGTCAGTATTCAAACTTCTCACATTTAAAGCATAGTAATAGGTTCATCCTATTCGTAGCAATTTATTGACATTCATATCATAAGGTTAAATTCGTGAATCTTTGCTGAAAGTTTTTATTATTATCCTACAGGATGTTTATTTTTAATTCGTTATCAAATACTGGCCCCATACAAAATACGCAAAAACAGACATACACATACACTCCTTAATTAGTGATGAAGTGTGATAAGTAATACCTGGAAGTCAATAAAAGGATTATCATCCACAGTGACTGAATTATTATTTTTGATCATTTTACATATTGACCTTAAAGTTTCAATTATCAACTGTCTGATTTCACTTCATTTACATATTACCTTGTATAGATGATATCTAGATTCTCTGTGTCAATAATGCTGTTACTGATACTTGTTATTATTGTGAACATAACTGTCTACTTACCAATGTATTATGGAATAAAGACTAATATTCCCTCAAATCAATGAGGAAAAAAGCAAGGCCAAGATGATAACAATAAGTGGTCATATCAGTATTTCCTATATAGATACAACGGTACTCAATATGAATGTATATTACATTAGATAATTGTAGTAATACATCAACACAAGATAAAGTTCCATACAATTTCTCTTTTTTGTAAGCTTTGATAAAAATTTAACTGATAACTCTGTGGTGGTCTAACATCAATCGGTTAATGATCTCAATCAAAAACTTAACGATCTCCACAACTCCTAAACTGATAACTCTGTATAATATGTGAGACTTCTGTCGTTTAAAGTACTAGCTAACATAGTCAACTATCTTAACAATCATGTAACTTTTATATCCATTTGTACAGGTAGGTAGGTTTTGAAGCTTTTGTTCAATATGAAGACAACTTTTTTCTAATCAGTGACTGATATTAACTGCAAAATCATAAAAAATCAGAATGTACTAGATATCTTTTTAGTCATAATCAAGAACTCATATCCAATCCTCATTCATAGACGCTTCCTAAAATTAAATCATCTCATGGGACCAAGATTCCTTCGATACTGTGTTGAAACTCAGTGGATTACATTTCTAAACTTAGTCTATACAGGTTATAATTTAACAGGGACCCAACATAGTCGATGAGTAACTGTCTCACTTCCTAGTTTTTTGATTCCGCAAGTTATAGCTTTCCTTTAGAATCTTTGGAAATCCAGCCCGAATCAATTCATTTATTAGGATAGAACTGTTAATATTTGGTATTATCGAATAGTCTGTGAATAGTTTGTACAATTTAAAGATGATTTTCATCGTATACGGATTATCGACATAGTGTTTTACATGATACCCATTCTTGATAAAATTTCATATATATATATATATATATATATATATATATATATATTATTATTTATTTATTTATTTATTTATTTATTTATTTATTTATTTATTTATTTATTTATCGCTTTATTAATGATGATTGTTTATTTTAGTGCGAAAACTCAAACAACTGAAATTTCTTCTGAAACCGAATTACCTTATCCAACCACATCTATTTCTTCAATTTCCTCTTTAAATCCTTCACAATTATCATCGAGCCCAAAAAATGCTCAATTAAAAAAGCTTTCAGGTATATAGAATTGTATTTTATTACAATATTATTTGTTGAGTTTTTTTTATAGTTTAGGGTGGATATTTATAATTGATGGCTATTTTAATGGCTTTTCTATTCATGTAGTAGGCGCTGAATATTGGAAACTTTACAAATGAAACCATTGTGCTTAAAGAATACGATGCCATTAAAAGCATCTTTCTTAGCTACAAATCTTCTTTACCAATTCTTATGTGACTACTTATTTTTGTTTTATTATTATTATTATAGATAATACAAGTAATGATCAACAGTCAAATGAAAATTCCACCGAACATCCTCTTTGTGATGTTCATGCGGATAATCAATCAATCAACAGTAATTACTCGAATAAACTAACTGTGAACAGTGATTTAATTCAAACAATCAAACAACGTATTCTGAATAAATATATAAATGTAAGTTTTTTATTGTAACAGTCTATTGTGATTGCTTCAACTATTGATGAGATTTTTCTTGAACATTTTATTTACTAACTTATTGTTTGTTTATGTATAGTCAGTCAATCTGAGAAAAGTATGCTATACATTAACAAATCAATCAGAATTAAGATGTGGGGGGGGCTATTGAACATTTTCGTACAAAATTCCAAAGCCAACGATGGATAGTTTGTATTTTATCAGGAGCTAAGTAAAATCAACTAATCTTAAATTAGGACGCTTAAAATTGTTAAATGTAGAATGACTAAGGAATACTGACTATGATTTATGAGTTCTTTATTATTTAGATGTTCTTAATATTTTAAACCAAAGAACTAACTGCATCAATATTCATCTGTATTGGCAAAAAAAAAACATTTTTCCTAGAGAATTCTAAACGATTACTTGTAATTCTTAACCTCAGATCTAAATACTTATCCAAATTTATAATCCTAACTCTAACCTTTTTTGTGCTTTAATATAACAAATTAGTCTGAACGGCTAAAGAATAGCTTTGCTTTTTCAAAGTATATATACGATTCACTGAAGGTCTTCAGCAAGGTACATTTCTACCATCATTTTTAGTATTCGATATTTCACAAGTCATTTTTATAGAAATCGTTATATTTAACTATTAATTTGTCCTAATGGGCTACTAAAATAGCGGGTTTGGTATTTAATTTGTCTCTTAATAATGCTACATTGAAGTTTGTATTAAAGAAGTTTATTTAATGATATCTCTGTAAATATTCAATTTTTAGTGAACCGATACAGCATTTCCATAAAATAAACACTGTTGTAAATGAAGCTCAATTTTTAGTTAAATGACAAAATATCTAGTTGTATAAGTGATACAGAGCCTTACCTGTAGTTGTGAATGTATGATATTAGTTGACAACTCTTAGCTACTCATATAGGGGCACTTTTCGTTATTTTCTCACATCTGATAAAAAATCGTTTGCTATCGTTTATATTATTTCATTGTTAGTGAATCATAAACTTTGAAGTTTGGCCTCATGTGCTGTTTGTTGGTATTTGATTTTAAATGCTTTCATGTGATTTGCTTATGTGGAACCGGCAAGTGAAGAATACTAAATATATGCATAAGTTACCAAATGAAGATGGTAAATTGTCTGTTAAGGCTATACACATTCATCAACTGAGGTCTGTACATTTATTACGTATACTTAACTGCCGCATTCCCCAATGCATTACTGAATGATTGTATTTTCTTATTGATAACCGAGTCCTAAACCTTATCTACTTTCAAAAACGATTGATAAAGATCACCAGTCATAGACTTACCGCAGTATTATATTTTCTGTAACCATCATTTTTCTAACCATGATGTTTTCGCCACTTTTACATATATAGGCTAACAAAGAATGGCTTGTTACTTTATCTGGTTTAAATAATGGTAAATTATTACAAACTCATTCTTCATCGTCATCACATTCAAAGTCAAGTGTAGAATTTCATTGTCTCTCTGAAGTAACTGATCCCAAAGAAATTGATTGGTCTGAAACAAGATCTGATTCATCGTCGTTGCGTTCAAAACAAATTTCCATAAGTAAATCTCCTGAAACTCATGAAAATTTTTCTTCATCTCAAACAATTAGTCCGTTAAGTATGATTTATTCAACACGTTTTAAACCATTACCACGATTAGAGGAGGCAACATCTGAAGAGTCAATACATACTGTTCAAGTTACTTCAGATTTCAACAATCTGTCGAATACACCTTCGTCATGGACAGATAGTAGAAAATCATCAGAATTCGGTAATTTATCTATTTATTCTACAATAAATTCTAGTACGACGTATATGCCTGATAACTTTGTAAAAAATGAAATTACCAATTCATCTATTCAGAACGTACTAAACAACGAAGTTTACTCACATCATTTATCTGAGGAAAATGATACAATTAAACAGTTACTTGATAACATTCCAAATACTCCAGTTGAATCAAATAACAATGAGATTGTGCCCTGTCTAGGCTCTAAATTATCATCAACATCTTTTTCAGAGAAATCAGATAATGGGACACTCAATGTTCAGGAATTTGGTCTTAAAATTGTTTCATGTGCAATACCTGTTGATGATCAGCGTAACAATGTAATAACAACAAGTGAAACGCCAGTTATAATCAACGCAATTTCAAGCGATAATATACTCGTCGAAAATCTTTCTGAGGTTTGTTTCAATTCAATCATTTATAATAATTACGTGTTGTTGGATTCTTCCGAGAGGACTGACATGATGCTTGTTATCTTGGGAAGAACTTATCTGAACCATCTTATGACGTATACGATTGTCACCCACTAATACTAGGTACCCAACCAAAATGATTGTTCTCTCATACATCAAACCGACTCAAATCAGGGATAAGTTATCATCCTAAGTAATGAGTATATGTCATAACAGTCAAGGAGATTAGGGAAATATGTTAAAAAATACACATAATTGTCTGTTTGTGTTCATTAACCAATCACGTCAAATATCAAGTACTTTCATTATTTTTCTTTTGATTTGATCTTGTAAATTTTTGTTGTGTTTAGATATGACAAAGCTTTAAATGTTATGACTAGTGTACGTCAATATTTAATCTGACAATAGGGAGTAAAGTTGAGCGCATGAGCCACCCAGTTTACCTTCAAAGTCTCATTAACTCTAGTGGGTTGTTGGTTGACAAAATTTCGGCACGATTTCAGAATTGTGCTTCTGCTCGTACCAGCCTGTGATGTGAGTTATCCGTCTGTCTATCAAAGAGCAAGTATACTATTCAACAATTCTGTTTTAATTTTTGTTGAATATGGTCTTTCAAATTAAAGAAGACTCATAGGTTGTTAGTACTTGGTCATAGGTGTCTTGAAAACATTTCTTGCTTATGATGGGACAGTGGGTTAAACAATTCTGAAATCATATTGTTAGTTATTAAAGCTGTGAATTTACATTGCCTAAGGTAGCTAGGTATCGTAGCGTGTATGTCGAAACACTATAAGTTAATTAAGGGACTGATACAATTTGTTATATTACTTTTGATCGTTAATAATATTGTAGGTGACTGATATTACTAAACATTTGGAAGGTAAACTTTTACCCAGTACTATGATGAACAATATGATTTATTAGTTTTATTCATAAAAGTACATAGTAGTCATCTTGTATATCAAAGAGACTGGATAACAGTTGGGCAACTTGTTCTCATTAACTTTCACACATTTTTCTCCACTAATGTCAAAAATTGTTACATTGAAACACCCCACAAGTAGCTAAATAGTGCAACAAAGATATTTTTAGCCAGAACCGACTTGAGTCGAGCTGGTAAACTATGACAGATTTCCCTGAATGTGCTTAGAAATTTAAAGTTGCTACTAATCATCCAAACAACCCTCAATTTATGAACTTAAACTCATTTGATCGGTTAAGCTGTAATCAAATATTTGTATTTCGATGTTTCTTTACACCTCAAAACTGATCGATTGATTGAATTGTAGAAAGCGGCTAGAAAGTCACTGTCACAAATGTTTCAGCGTGCCAGCCAACACAAACCACTGATTAAACGCTAAATTATTTCTGCTAATGAAGAGGAGGATATTACACAAAAAGTTTGTTTCTTATTTTCCTACTAGTATAAGTATTCTTATTTAGTATATCGAAGTTGTATTTATCAAGTATTTTGTTTCTTTTTCAGAATTCTCGACCATCTAGTCCTGCTGAAGGGGCAGTTAGTAAATTTTCTCCTAGTTATCATCAAAATGTAAAGTTTAATGTTTCCGCTTCTTTACCGTCTGTCTTTGTTGAGAGTATGGATGGGTGCGAAAAATATCAAAGACAAACTGAGACAGTGCATTGCTCTTCTGATAATAATCTCAAAACATTTATGCAAACAAATGAAACCTCACTCACAGATTCATTAAGATCTTTCGAACGACATGAGGTTCGCTGTGATCTGCTGAGTAATTCAGGAACATTTACAGCTGGTATGAAGTTTTCTTGTACACCATACAATTCCTTAATCTTATGTTCTATTTTATTTGTAAAATGTTATATAATATTTTGGAAATGCATTTATTTAAAACAATTAGTCCCTTTGATAAATTTCGATAATGCAATGATAAACTTCGTCTTCTCATTGCATTATCGAAATGCATTTATGTATGTTCGTTGTGAATATCGTAGTATGTAATATTCATTCAGTCACAAATGCCAAAGGACTTGCTTCAAACAACTATAAATTAATTCAAGTTTTCAACATATTCAGAGAAAATTAGTATAATGAAAATAAATCCAAAGTGGGGTTGTGAATTCGAACTGTTGAGGAATCCTTCAATTGGACCAAGGAGCTATCCAGAGCTTCCTAGTTTTCAATGGTTTTATAACTAATGTCAGTCAGTTACATAAAACTATGAAAGTCGTACGAGTTTAGATAATAATGGTAACAATTATCACTAAAAAATGACTATACAGAGCATATAATTTAAAAAGATACGACTGAACATGGGAATTAAACATCTGAAGTCATCTTCCGACTAGAATTTTAAATGAATACAGACACAGAATTTATCTACACTATTGCCACTGGTTTCGACATATACGGCTTAGATTACCTCAAAGATTCCAACTTTGATCTTTATACCTCTCAACACGTCTCACTCCAGGAGTCAGTGTTTTTATGGACTAATATTATCTTAGTTTGGCTGCTACCATCGGTTTTCCATATAACTCTTATACTGGCTGGCATAACTCGTCGAAATGGGAGATCATTTTAATACAGATATTACTTATCGTCATTCAAACATAAACCGCTTTGTCATCTCGTACAATATAAGGAATTGAACTGATAATTGTCGAAGTTGAAAAGAAGCGTATATTCTTTTGACTTGATGAATTCTTTTTGGAGACATTTCATAAGCAATCGCTTATTTTTCTCACCAAACCTACACGTATCGTGTAGATCATTCTTCTTACAAGTGTTATATTTGATTTCAAGCACATATATCCTTTTAGTAATATCAGACATTTTTCCATATTCAAAGTAATTACTAGATTTTAATTCGTTAGTAAGAAGTGTTGTTTTCATCAAGCTAACGAGTGGATTGAAACACGGGTCTTGAATTTCACTATTAGCCACTATCCAAATCTCCTTATGATTAGTGAATTGTTTAATTTCGATTATGCGAAGTTTGGATTCAATCGATAAATAGCCGGAGTATTTTTCCAAATAATATGCATAGGTACAAATTCGGGTCACTCGGTGATTCATGAATAGATTTTAAGAAATCCTCAAAAATCAGCAGTCGTAAAATATTTTTTATAAATTTCCATTTTATAAATCTCACGAGTAATACGCTTGAAAGCATTACGTAAGCAATAATACATTTGTTTCATACACTTTGTTGCTTTCAACGACAGAACTACGACGTATTTCCTTAGTCTCTTTTGGTATTGTCAATAATGTTTCATTTTAAGATCCCATTCAATTCTCTCTACTAAACCAAGACGTGAGGTTAGTAAATAGAGTCATTGTCTATCGGACTAAGCTATGTTGGTCGCTGGATATTGCCTAGTTGAGGTCCACGCGATTATCGTAACCAGAGATTGTGGACGTTCAATGATATGGCTGAGAATCGGTCGAAATGGCTCAAATCCATTCATTCTTTGTCTCATCTTAGATCCTGAGTTTAAAAATGCTATCAGATTTATTCAGTATTTCTTTCAAATACTTTATTTCTTTTTTACGGTAGGTGGTTTTAAAAATCAGTTTCCCGATACATTATCTAATAATGTTGACGCTAAAAATGTCTCTTCACCTACTGATACTTTAAATAACAAAAAAACAACTGAGAAACCAACAATTACTCATAGTAAATGTTTAATAAGTAAACATACAATAAAAGACTTTATGAATAATCAACGTGATCGTATAAATTCTAACCGTGTTGTAATTAAAACTTCAAATACGAGGAAACTAGATTCATTTGTATGTAATTCGTCTAAGCAAAGAACCACACGCAGTGGGATTGTTCAGAGTATGGCTACAAACGGACAAAGATCTATAAAAAGTGTAAGTCCACGTTGCTTTTAAAAAAGTATTTTAAGTCTTCTTGCTTTAGCCTAAACATAATGCTAATTTTCGCAGATTATTCTCTATTTAACCCTGAAAAGCAACAAGAGAATAAAATAAAAAGCTACCTGATGCTTACAATACATGATAGATTTTTTTCATTTGATTTACGCGTCATTTAGAAAATGATTTTGATTCAACTCAGATTAAATATAACTCAGTAGATCAATGAACCTATTTGTAACATGTACATATTTCTGGTGCGAGACAATTTTACACTCTCTCATCATCTAGTTGAAGAATCAAAAATTTAGTGCTTCATGGAAATAAGAATATTAACAGCTCTCTTATTAACTTTGCTCTTTTCATTCGTTTTCAGTCTATGATGTATTTTTCGCCTTACTGTCATCGCCTAAAACCCACAGATAGACCCTTCTACTTCTTACAGCAACTGATTGCATTTTGGTGACTGTCTTCTTTTACTAGTTAACATTTTCTTAGCAGCCTCTAAGTAGCTGGTGCCGTTTAAAGTCAACTGAGTTAACACTTTGATTATCAATAAGTGTAGTAGTTTTAGGCTTTTTTTCTATTTGACGACTCATCTGCCTACACTTACGTATAACTTACATGATCGATCAAAATAATGAAACGTTTCTCGTTCTCTATTTTGTTTATGCTTAACTTATTCACATCGGTAAAAGCTTCGAAAAGTAAAAACTTACTTTTTGATCAACCTTGTATTTAAGATCCGCATTGTGTTCGGTTACTGAATTGATAACATTATTATTACATTATTTGACGTATAAATAACTTGTCTCCCTTCTATCATTATTAGAAAAGATTTAGCTTGTCCCGTTGCTGATATTCTTGGCTGAATTTTTATTCCTGTTGTTCAGAATGCCATGATGTAGCTATTTTTTATAAGTTTTTGTGGAGCAGATGGATTATATCTAACTCTGGAACCCACGATGCGCGTCCCGTCCGACTAATGAGTCCTAAATGATATAAAATGTGCTTCCTGGGTGCCACTACTATCCACAATCCACTTATTCTATATAGATTGTCTTATTTTTTCATTTTTGAGTTAATTGACCACTGAATAGTAGTCGGATGACATGTTTGTCTAGTGTTGATTGAATTCTATCGATTTAATCTTAATATGGCATTTTAGTCCCAGTTACTCGACAACACGTGCACTATGTTGAGACGTAAAGTGGTGATTGGATGTAAATTTTAAGAGACCTTGAACCTTGATTTAATGCTGTTTGGCACTTGTCAGCCAGGCGTACCAGTAATCTTGATGTAACTAATTCCCCCTGGTGGATTCAATGTCGTGTCACCCAGCTTCACAGTCTGAGGTGTCACTCTTCAGTGGTCAATCAGTTGTAAATATCATTGCCCCGCATAAGGTCAGCAGTGGCCTGAATAGTTCATTAGCCACGTCCTAGATTGTGAAATTGTATGACACGTAATCGAATCCTCCAGAGTCAACCAGTTTCCTCAGGATTGTGTGGGTGCACCTTGTTGAGTACCAAATAGCACTAAAACTAGGCGCAGGATTTCCTATCGACTACCTCCAACCATCTGACATATGACATGATTATGTAGTTTTCCGAATAAATCATGACGCCCTAATAGGTAAATTAGTGGATATTAATATCTGGGAATTATGGAGAGTCAGAGTTGCCTGTTTAAGTAAACAACGTTAATTGGAAATCTTATATTAAATGGGTTAACATAATAACAGTTTCAATTATGATTCAGTGACCTATTATTCTGTTATATTCGTCTAGTATCGCTTTCGGTAACTCCTTTTTCTGTATACTGTTTTTTGCTTAAAATAAACCAGAAACTGTTAAAATAAGTTTTTTTACAATAAGGACTATCTCCTCTAGAGTAAATTTCTTAGAGTTTTAGTGGTAAATCGTGATCGTTGCAATGAATTTAGGGGGAAATGAGATAGGAGTTTTCCGACGACAATGAATGAGGTTGGCGCAATATAAAAATTTGATTAAACTTAAAATTGTGTACTGGTGAGTTCCAGCTCAGTAATCCCAAGATGCTATGCTCGTTATGATACGTAAAGGTCTTGTTTTAAATACTGCATGCAGTCATTAGTGCACACTTCTGAGAAGTGAAAATTTAGGAAAAATACTTGTTCAGTGGCTCTGTAAATTACACTGATTTGTCCTAAAAAGGAGTACGTTCGAGCTTTACGAAATAGCCTGGCGTAGCAAATAATATTTGGTTATATTGACCACTAACTTCCGTTAGTGACTGTGAAAAAATAGGACGGTCCACTTTTTTCGTTGCACTGGTATGAGTGAATCACTTTGTAGATCTTGCTGGTGTCTGGTCAAGCTAAGGAATACTTACAAAACGGCCTTGATGAATATTTATTATGCGTTTCAAATTGAATGATGATCCAAGCAGCATTTGTTGAGATTTTTACTTATGGTATTAAATATTTTGTTTAATTATCAGTTCAACTCATGATCAATGTAGAATGCAATGCATCTAAATAATTAGTCAATGTAAAGGACTTCAATCGGTCAATCCGTTTTTGTATATGTGCATCTTGTGTATATTGCCTCAATATTACCATCAATTTACAAGCATTCTAAATGGTGTTGAATAGTGCATACAACCTCTGCCACGGAAGTCCTTCTCGTGTTATTAATTTTGTTTACAAAATTGAGAGGACGAAAATCGAATGTCCGACGCTTTAACCGGGTTGGTGGACATAGAAAGTCCATCTAGGGGAGTTGGAAAACCCTGATTCCAAATCAGTGGTGCATATGGGCTCCAGTACCCTGAGGGAACAAATGGCGTATGGACCAATCGTTGGTCACCGACTACCATGGGACTGCATCTCCTTACGTTGCTCCACTGCCTTGTGGGTCAGACCTTTAGGTCTAAGGCTCTGTGTGTGGCCCCCTAAGAAAACTACCTGTTTCGGTCTGGGCACCCGGACAATATCACAGCCCTCACACAAATCAAGTGAGATTTGTGTGGCGCATATATATCTGGTGCCCCCTTGTACCAGTATTTATGTGTTCAAATCAAAATCAAATCAATCACCTGTATGGATTTTAATTCATTTTAGTGTTTGAGTCGTAATGTGAACATTAGATTTGACATTCAGGCACATACAGCTGATAAGTCCCAAGTGTGGAGAAACACTGATCCAAAATCTGACTGCAAGCTAATATCTTCCTCTGCTCAATATTAATCAAATCGTTTTCAAATCTTCGATTCTGTATCTAATAATTTAGGTTCTTGTTGATAACTAAAAGATTTTAAAGACTAGTTTTGCATCAATTTTGTTTTGGTTTTTCTTATTTATTTTGAACTATCCTTTATATTTTTCTTAGAAACCCTCAAATGTTAACAATCCATCCTCAACTACCCAAATAATTCGTAAATCTTCTTTAAAGTCGGCTAATGTTACCAATTTGTTCGTTAATAATAAACAGCTTCCATCCATACCAGTGTGTACATCGAATTCAACTAGATTATCTAGTAAACAAATTAAAACTTCTGAATCCTACAATTGTACAAAATTAAATCCTTTTAATCAAGCTAAAGTATTACAAATGGAACTAATACAATGGCAACAGAAACGCTTAAAATGTTATCAAGAATCACGTAATAATGAAATGGCAATCTCAACAAATAATGTCATTCCGAAAACAAATACGAATTGTATTTCAATCGATGTGGACAATAATATTCCACTTATATCAGATGATAATGTTGATAATATTATTAACTTGAAAAGCATTCCTGGGAGCATTCAAATCAAGAGTAAGTTGTTTAATATACACTTTAATTTTTTTTTATTATATGTATTGTATAAATTGTTATCGTAATTAACGTTTCCTCTCAGCTTCCCTGTAATCCGTTTCAACCGTATAAACATTTATCATCCTTATGATTAATAACAATGATTCTTTATTCTTAATTACTTACTTACTTTCCCCTGCTACCCCTCATGGAGGAGCATAGGCTGCCCACCAGCACTCTCTATCTAACGCTGTCCTGTACAGTCCTTTCCAGTTGCTATTAATCCTTTTTGATGTCCGCTTCCCAATTCCTTGGTCTTCCTCTTCTTCGTTTCTCTTCAGGATTACAAGTTAGGGCTTGCTTCGTGATGCAGTTTGATGATTTCATCAATATATTTCCTATCCACATACAACGTCTATTCTTAATTTCCTCTTCAACTGGAAGCTGGTTTGTTCTCATAGTAGGTTGTTCCTGATGGCATCCGGCCAACAGACACTGAGTATCCTGCGTAGAAAATTGTTTATAAATACTTGTACCTTTTTGATGATAGTTGTAGTAGTTCTTCAAGTTCAAGCTCCGTAAAGTAGAACTGCCTTGACGTTGGTGTTAAAGATTCTGACTTTGATATTGGTCAACAGTTGTTTTAAGTTCCATATGTTCTTCAACCGTGGGAGTGCGGATTCTTCATTCCTGCATGCATTTAAACGAAGAAAAAAAGATTTTAATATTAAATAATCTACAAAATTAAACTGAAGTTAAAAAGAAGAAAGCGTAACAAGTGTATATGATCGAATAATCCAGCCATATTTTGTTATTGTTGTTTTCGTCATCATCATCATCATTATCATTGAGCACATTCTCAAAGTTATTCTCCTGAAAATATGTGAATAATAAAGCTAACTGTCTATTGATATAAAAATTCATTTTAATCTAATTTATTAGAAAGAATTCAAATTATCCTATTGTTGATAATGTTAACTGAATTTTTGATGTGTCTTAATTGACATAAATGTGTGTGACTAAGGATTCAATCAAAATTATCAACAGACGGACTGAATCAAATCTTCTATAATAATAATAATAATAATAATAATAATAATAATAATAATAATAATAATAATAATAATAATAATAATAATAATAATAATAATAATAATAATAATAATAATAATAATAATAATAATAATAATAATAATAATAATAATAATAATAATAATAATAATAATAATAATAATAATAATAATAATAATAATAATAATAATAATAATAATAATAATAATAATAATAATAATAATAATAATAATAATAATAATAATAATAATAATAATAATAATAATAATAATAATAATAATAATAATAATAATAATAATAATAATAATAATAATAATAATAATAATAATAATAATAATAATAATAATAATAATAATAATAATAATAATAATAATAATAATAATAATAATAATAATAATAATAATAATAATAATAATAATAATAATAATAATAATAATAATAATAATAATAATAATAATAATATAATAATAATAATAATAATAATAATAATAATAATAATAATAATAATAATAATAATAATAATAATAATAATAATAATAATAATAATAATAATAATAATAATAATAATAATAATAATAATAATAATAATAATAATAATAATAATAATAATAATAATAATAATAATAATAATAATAATAATAATAATAATAATAATAATAATAATAATAATAATAATAATAATAATAATAATAATAATAATAATAATAATAATAATAATAATAATAATAATAATAATAATAATAATAATAATAATAATAATAATAATAATAATAATAATAATAATAATAATAATAATAATAATAATAATAATAATAATAATAATAATAATAATAATAATAATAATAATAATAATAATAATAATAATAATAATAATAATAATAATAATAATAATAATATAATAATAATAATAATAATAATAATAATAATAATAATAATAATAATAATAATAATAATAATAATAATAATAATAATAATAATAATAATAATAATAATAATAATAATAATAATAATAATAATAATAATAATAATAATAATAATAATAATAATAATAATAATAATAATAATAATAATAATAATAATAACAATAATAATAATAATAATAATAATAATAATAATAATAATAATAATAATAATAATAATAATAATAATAATAATAATAATAATAATAATAATAATAATAATAATAATAATATAAATATCATACTTGTTGCATAAGTTAGTGTCTCTGTGAACTTAGTAGCTTAGTGGATAACGCGTTGGGCGTTCAAGTCCCGACATGAACATCTCTAGTGGGATGGAGGTATATCCAGCTTGTGAGTCCGAAATAGAACCAAGCGCTCGTTCTCATTTATGTTATGCTTGGTATTCTTCATCGTTATTTCACGTTTAATCATTACAAATCAGTAATATATCCCAAATTTACTTGTTTATACTTGATGGTTGATAGTTTGATAGCCTACCTCCTAGAAACATAACAGAATATATATAAATGGATATGTACTAAATTTTATTAATTTTATCACGACATTTCTGATAATTGATCAAGAAGACTTGTAACACATTGTTTTTTGAAGTGAACAAAAATTAAAGAATCTTTTTATCAGAACAGACTTGTAATTATACATACAAATTCAATTCTATGTTGTTTTTTGTGTAGCCTAATGTGAATGGTACATATATTTATTCTATTCATAATTAAAAATAGAATGGTAATTGAAAATTAATGCATTTGTAGGCTTTATATTTGAACAAATATCCAATATGACTTTAATTTGAATAAATTTATTTTATTATCAAATAAATGTAAAAACTGTTTACTAGTCACAAGAGTATGCTCTCCAGCATGGTGAATAATTCATCGCATACAAATGATAACATATTACACTCTATATTACTTTGTAAAATTGTCTGCGTATTTGATTATGAAGAAATGCCGTAAATTATTCTTATATAACCAAGTCGTTACACACAATAATGTTTACTTAAGTATGTATCTCAAATCGGAAAAATGTACCATGTTTGTCCAATCTTATCCCACCGAATCGGTCATCAGTTATGATAGATCAATAATTTTGTTGTTGTCATACTAACATCTACTGAATTTAACTTTTATTTTTATGTTGTACTTAGTGAATCCCCTACAAGACTTGATATCACTCAAAGGTTGTCTTTTCTGTGAAATTTCGATTCTCGGGTACCTCCTTTCTTCATAACTTGTTACTTTACTTAACAATCATTTTAGATGATCAACAACTACTTGAAAACAACAAATCATCGCCCTCAAGTGATAACGCAGATCAAACTTCGGTGGATTTGGCTATGGTGAATGAAGATCAACCAGTGGTGTTTTGTCTTCCAGGAATTGGTACTTCACATCCTCCTCTAGCAGTTTGTTCCGGTGATTTGTCGATTATTGAACCAGTATCTGAAATGAATGTTCCGTAAGTTGTATTTAGGAGTATTTGTCTTACATCATTCTATGCAGATTATGTGTCGAACTTTAACATAATAGATGAAATTACCATTTTATTTAAATTTGTTCACAATTGTATTATCTCTATTTCTATCACTGTTTACCTACTCGAGTATCAGTAACTTGTATTAAGTAGTCTGTATTGTCTACCTGTGATAAATATTTCTTTTCTGGATCTTTATACCATTAACACTGTTACTAATTCTACTACTCTAGGGTTTACCTTAAAAACTTCATCTTGCTCTGCTAATGGGGTATGGCAACTTGAACCGACGTGCACACGTACCAGATTTCCTGTTTTATTTGACTAACTTAATGAAACTATTCATTTAATATTGATATGTTTGTAATATTTTCAAGTTACTTTGGTTGTACAATGACTTTTACTCTATTTTTATATAACTTTTAGTTGTAAAAAATAAACATGACATCTGTTGATGATATATTTACTCAGTATCAGGATTCTCTAGTATGCAATGTTGGGTGACGGTTTTCGTTTATCATAGTAATTCTAGTTAACAGTGGATATCATTTAGAAGTCTTTTTATTTCACTCAGGATCACAATATTTCAACTGATATTATGAATCATATTTGTGTAAGAGACTATGGGACGATCTGATTTTACACTCAAATTGAATCTCATCATCATTTTCACAAGTCTAAATATTCAAACCGTTACACTGTACCATTTACACGATGACCGAATAAGTTCAACCATGTTAAAAGCTAAACAGATATCATTGACGGCACTAATATATGATTGTTGTACAGTACCACAAATTGACTGAAGTTGTAAATGTGGACTATCAGATTCTTCATCTTCAGTTATTTTCCGTCTTATGTCAGTTTCGTGATGAAAACTAACTTGATATTGAACAATTTCCAAACATACACACAGATAAACATTAAGTCAATAGGCTCATCAACTATTTGTATGCGTGATAGTTTATGACTATCAAAACAAATTAAAAAGTTTAATCTCATAATACTGATAGTTATTAAATCTTTATTACAGAAGTACTAATCACTTATATGCTTGAAATAATTAATAATAACAGTTAGTGTCGTTCGCGGCTAGTTCATTTAGTGGTATGTTGCCATTTTGTGCTGCAAACTTTAGATTAGTGGTCTAATAAAATACTGGTGTTTTCTTGTGGATCTGGGATTCATAACACACTTTAAAGGTTACTGTCTGAGGTAACTGATTATAGTTTACATCTAAGTTGTTAATAATAATATTAATTAATACTTAGACGGAAAAGCTTGTTTTAGTCAAATTTTTTAAAGTATTACTCAACTACTTATTTTTTCAGGTAAGTCACTGCCAGTATGATTATATATATTTAAATTATGTTCTCGAATAATGTTTTTTTGTCTAAATATTTCTGAGCTATTTGGTTGTCTCCCTGACCTTTGATTATTTACTTGAATTTAGTGACGACCCAACAACACCAGTCATTGAACATCCTAATAATGTAAATTTTCCGTTGACTTCAGCAATACCACCTCCTGATGTTTCCATTCATGTTTCAAAATCAGACAGCCATAGTGTTAAAAAAATTAGTACCATATCGTGCACACCGGTGTCATCATCTAAATCATACGAACGGAATGACACAGTTTTGTTTAATTACGATCGTCATCAGCAGGCTCATGCAAATCGCCAACGTGTAAAAGAATTTGATCGTGTAAGTTTCTTTTCTCAACAATGTAAATCTTTCACTGGTGAGTGAAAATTTCGGTGTGTTATAATAACAATTTTATATATTCAAACAATTCATATGTTGAAGTGTTTCTAAAGTTGTTTCTCATTGCAGTAGAATATCTTACCACTTGAATTGTAACTTAATATTAGTCCTTAGCAAATAAACTACGGACAACAATAAAAACAATTTCATTATCATATTTGCTATCTGATGATGGAACTGTACTACCATTAAGGATACTACCGGTTAGTTTAATTTCTAAGATTTGTTAAATTTTCCTACGTTAGATGCATAATTAAGTTGAATCTTTTCATTCTTCTCAATTTTTCATCCGTTTTTCTGTTGTTTAGATTCGCCGCGAACAATTAATGAAACGAAGAGTATAAACCAGACTAATGTTTAATATTATTACTTTTTAAGCTTCAGTTATTATATATGATTTACACTATTCAAGATTCAATTGAAAACATTATTATTATATTTGGATGTTTTTATCCAAAATAAAGTCTTTCTGTTTTGTGAATAAGTGTCGAAGATAACTGTGGTCAAGAATGTATACTTCCGTAAAACGATTTATTAATAGATCCAAATATTCAGAAAAATTGCAAATTTAGGTCAGTTATTGTGTAAAGGATTATTAAACGATGCTCAAATTCCGACACCGTTTTATGCCTGCTAATGGTTTGTTATGATTTGGTTGCGCACAATATAAAATTAAGAGCTTTGATTTATAAGCAGGCGACTATGTATACTGACAACTTAGTAGACTTGATCTCGTGACTAGTTACCATTGAGGTTACATCATATCAATTTTTACCATCAGTCAATAATGTTATTTACCCTATCAGTTAGAAGCATGTTTATCAGCAATAATTTCAATGTCCATTCCTTAGAAGGTAACCTAAAACCGACTGGAGTAGCTATTTGAAACTTCATGCTCTTCTAATGTTCTGGTAGAGAGCTAGTATAAACCAATTGGTTTCTTAGCTACCTTATCTTCATGTAAGCAAGGGACAGTTGCAGATCTCTGGTTAGATCCGATGGGGTTTTTCTAACCACCAAGTTGCAATAATGTGGGTGATAAGTAAGTTGCGATCTAGGTTCCTTTCTTGACTGTGATTTTTGAACGAGCCAGTCAGAACTGAGAAAGCGATCTCAAGATCGCGACGCTTATTCTAATGCCAAGTGCTTACCTAAGACCATTTTACTATGAATGTTATAGTTGAGTGCTTACAAAAGGTGGGATTGTTAGAAATCTTGGTTATTTGTTATTGCGGTGTTCACCTGACAGAAATGGGTGAAGCCGTCATCCGAAAGTGCAAATTTAGTAGAGCAAGAGGTGTGAAAGAAGACTGAGTGAGCAGCAGTTCCTTAAATTCACTTAGCATGTTTTATATACGTGTCATAAAATACTGCAAAAGGGACATTCCCAACACGCCATAACCTAAAAGGCTACAACATTGGTACCAATTGTACAAAAGTATGCCCACCTTAGTACCGCTATGTATACGGACGACTAACGGATATACCCGTCCCTATCCACGCCTGAACACACATCATTTCGTCGTTCACAAAAGACATCTTGTAGACCCCACCACTGATGAACTCCAACAACATAGTAGCGTTTTGATTTAGGCTAGAATAACTTCTCTGACTTTATCATCGCTCCAGAGGTCGATCGTTATGAAGTTACTTCGGTGAGTTTCTGTACCGTACGCACTATCACTTCATAACAGCAGAACCTATACCTAACATCCATAAGTATTAAAATCATAATAAAGAAGTCAATCCTTTACAGTTTTTTTGGCTTTCTGTTAAACACTATATCAACTTTTTTTCCGATTGCCTGACATTTTTCTGGGTCACCCAAGATTTATTGTAAGATCGTCCACAAATTATAGTCTCAATAAGTTCTTTTTTCCTACTTTTTGTACCTGTTTCAATTGCCAGAAGATGCTACTGATACTAGTAAATATCACTTCGTCATGACGAGATCCCATTAGTCATTCTATGTTGAAATATACATTAATTGTGACAGGTACAAGAGAGATGAAATAGTTTAAATAAATAAACAACGGGATAAAATTTAGATTGTTATACATGTAATGTTAGGTGATAGTATTAAGGGATAGTGGTGTTATATTATGACGAAGATTAAAAGAATGGTAATTTCCAGGACTAATTTGCAAACATTTTTTTATATATTCACGTCTTATCGATAATTAATTAAGTTGTTATTTATATATATTCTTTTTATCCTAAACTTTCGATTAATTCACTAACTACTGTTATAAGATTTACCATTCCTAATCTGTTATCAGTTTTCTCACTTACTGTCTCTCCTACTAACAGTCACTTTTCGGTCGTTAATGTATACTTACTTTTCACTTTATGGTGTAATGTGATATTGTATGATCGTATGTAAACTACATCTGCTTGGAGGCTGATTTACTGACTTCTGGACTCAAGGAGCAAGGGAAAGTAAGAAGCTACAAAACTGAGGTTCATTAGAGACTAAGGAGTTAACTAGTGCTAGTTGGACGTGTAGTAGGTCAACTCAGAAATACTAAGTCATATCAGTTTTGATTCTGAATGAAGGTTTGTCACGTGAAATAAACATCCACAAAACATAACGATTAGATAGTTCAGTGTAACGTAATTAAGAAACAAATTAAGTGTAACTTTTTATAGCCTGTTATTGTCACACTATTGTGATAAAAGTAAACTATGATGATGATCTTCAGCGACTTGTCATCTAATCAGGAATCAATGTTTAGCTGTGAAATAATTAACAACAGAAGTAGAAAAATGACGGTAAAGTAGTAGCCTTGACCAGAATAATCGACTCTTGTTCTGAATTACTTTTTATGGTAAGTGAAAATGGTTAGTCTTACAAATGAGGACTTCGGGTAATGTCATCAGTCCACGTCATAATCCTATGAGGTTTTTGTCACCAACTGACTTCAGCTGTAATTTGAAGGATTAGGTCTTAGGAGTTTAGTAATGGCTGTGAGCTCGGTTCGCAAACTAGGGTTATTGTTTTCAATACGAACTGAGATCAGCTATGATACGATTTGGCTTTAATTACCACCCTTTTGCATATGAACTTTAGAAACATTTTTGAATTTGAGAGTTGGAATTTACGAAGAGAGAATGCTGTCTAGATACACTAAACAGTTTTAACGATGAAATGAATTATATTAACTGTTATAACACGAAAGATACCATGGGCAGATATTCCTTGTAGGTTGGCCTAGGCACCATTTCATGGATATTTTTATCATTCTCAACTATTCGAGGAACAGGAAATTGCCATTACTTAGTTCATAATAACAGACACGTTATTCTTCATTGTACTTCCATTTTCACACAATCCATGAGTTTCTATCTTAAGATTAACTAGATCACAGATGCGTAGTGAGGAAAAATGGGATTTCGCGCGAGTACTTTCCTTCTGATGAATTTCCTAGCGGATCATCATGATGGTTGTCAGGCGGGATTTTCTTGTTAAAAGATTTGGACTAAAGAATTCGTTGTAGATTGTGGCGAAGCTACTTCACTTTTGTGTAGCTAAACGAGAAAAACCATAGCTTATTGAGTCGAACATCTTACGTTTTATGTCATGGCTCTGTAACCTTTGATGAGTGTCTTGTGGCCTTCGACATGAGGTTGATGTCTTTATTCGAAAGTGTTGAAAACGTATTGTGGATTTAAGTTCGAGGAATGATGTACGTCCTAATCACCGTTATAAAAGGTTCAAAAGAAGCCATATCAAATTATCGAGAAACGGAATTAAGTATACCGAATCCGTCAGCTATATTGTCTATGTAACCAGTGTTCGGCAGAAATTGCCTGAAATTCATTTTTGACAAGGCGTGGAGAAGTTAAATCCTTACTATGATCATCTAAAAATTTATACCACCATGCTTCTACCTTTAAACGTGTAGAATTTCCACTAATTTGTATCGTACATATTTTCATTATTGTTATATTAATTCCAAGAAAGACACAGTCGTCATCCCACTGTTACCAAAATTATCCACTTTTTCCAAGAATCTGTCATTCGATTGTGGGGATTTTATTCAATATCTAATATCTCCCTCTTATATTCTAAAATATTAGTCGCCACATAGCTGTACCCTTTTCTGCTCCGAAGTTATTGTAATGTAAACATAATATTTTGCACCCTATTTTCTACTCTAATTCCCAGATTTGGATATAATTGTATTTTCCCTAATTATCTGATCAGGACAATACTGACTGCTAATTCGGAAAAACCTGTATATGTAGGCTACGTGTCCATTCACACAAGGCTCATACAGTTAAACAAGATGGAGAAGCTCACGTATTTCAAATTGAAAGCACAAACCGCTTGTATATTCACTCCGCGAGTTTACTGAATAAAATGGATGAGCTGTGTGAACTCGGTTATACTAGTAATGTTCGTCCGATAGGAATATCCTAAACATGGATACCTCAATTTACAGACCAGGGGCTAGCAATACCCGGTATGTCCTTGTTTTGCGATGACAGTTAAACAGGTATAGGAGGTGGAATAGCTTTGTGCCTGCGATTTCACATGGGGGTAAACCAAGTAAACAACCAAAAAGTTACCAATCTTGATAAATTAGTATGGTGATCAGTAAGATTGTCTTTCACTTCGAGGTGTCTAGTCGGAGTCATCTACAGGAGGCCTATTGCTGACATCGAGTACGAAAGTCGTATGCTAGGAAAATCATCGTGCTCTACTCGTCTTGGATTCACTCACATCCTGATTCTAGTAGACTTCAATCTTCCTAAAGTCAATACCGCGGAACACACGTACATTTCAAGTGAAGGGAGGTCGACGCAAGGAACCTTCAAGATACCGACTGGTAGCACTTCCCTCCATACCCTCAAAAATTATAGTCCCTGGCATAAGACAGTATACAGGGCTATTTATTAACTTATACTTTTTTTTACCCCAACAGTATGGTTTAGGCAAGGGTCAGTCTTGTATAACCAACCGGCTGACTGCGGTAGACAGGTGGATAACAATCCTTACTCGTAAGCGGAATGTTGACGTAATATCTCCTGACTTCTCAAAAACTTTTGATAGGGTCAACCATATTTATCTTACCATTAAGCTCAATCGATTAGGTGTCAAACCATCTTTAATTGATTGATTCACTTCATATCTAAAAAAATTGACATTTTAAGGTTAGGGTTAACTTCAACTTCTCTTAGGCTATGGAATGTTATAGTGTGATCTCCCACGGTCACGTTCAAGAGCCTCTCCTTCCTTGATTTATGCGAACGATCTTCCACAGCAGGTATCGTCTGAATTATTACTTTTTGCTGATGATGTGAGACTTTGGAGAGAGTGATACGCAGCCAAGAAGATAAACTGACAGTTCAGGAGGATCTGACTCGACTTCAAAGTTGTGCAGATGATGACGGACTTACCTTTAATACTTCAAAGTGTAAAGTAGTCCATCTCAGACATGTTGCGGACTAT